CGCTAGCAATGATCTACTACAATTCGAATGCTGTGATAAAGAGAGCCATCATGGCGCGTATATTCAAGAAAGGCGATCATTCTCCCTCACAACTATTCCCTAGACTACTAAAACACTACGTCTCAACTACAGTATCATCCGAAGCGGTTTGGCAATACACACATAAATCATACTAACGGGATATATATTAATAAAAAAAAACACTGGCGCTGTGAAGTGATGCAAACCACGACCAAGGCTTTGTCAGCAGCACTCTACCACTGTACCACCACCACAGGGGGTGCAGTAGTGGACTAGCTTCGGGTGGGGCCTCCACACACCCTGGGATTTCAGTAGAAATCCGGTTGTATTCCTTTTACTAATCAGTGGTGGTGCAGTGGTAGAATATGGAGCTGCCAATACCCTGGTGGCGGGTTCGCATCCCCTCAGAGCCCCAGTGAATCTTCTCAGTTGAGTTCATCTCGGTGAAGAGGATGGACACCCCTAAACACCAACATGGCTTTACATAAGATCATTGGGTCCTGTAGTATAGTGGTCTACGTCTTCGGTTTAATCCACGGGTGAGAGTGGAAGGGTTGGGCACGTTTTCCTTTTACCTGATGCCCCTATTTTCCCCAGCAGTAAAATAGGTCCCCAGGAGTTAGGTAATTGTTGAAGGGTTGCATCCTGGAGGTCAGAATACGGTCTAGGAGGACCTAGATGAGGCTAAGTACAGGCTTCCTGTCCCCGACAGCGGGAATCCCACATCATGCTTACATGAATGTACTGGAACTGATGACAAGAACAACACAGCACTGCTCCTGTGCCAGGTAAGTCCTCTACGGGGTCACCATAGCCCGTGCTACTTGGAACTTGTTCCGAGTAGATGAATCTATAACAACACAGCAGAAAATGGGAAGCTGGACAGACTGGGTTTTCCTCGATTGTCAGGAAAGCATTGTTACAGTTCCTTACAACAGACTTATATTAACTTGGAGAATACAGCACATGTAATAGGCTCGTCGCTGACATGTATTAGAGACGACCTCGTTAATAGGAAACACCCCGTACTCATCCTGAGAGTTGTTGGTTGTGCACCCCATACTCATTCTGTGAGCGGTTGGTTGTGCACCCCATACTCATCCTGAGAGTTGTTGGTTGTGCACCCCATACTCATCCTGAGAGTTGTTGGTTGTGCACCCCATACTCATCCTGTGAGCATTATTTTGTCAACACAGACTCTCCTGTATGGCAGTCGTAACACTGTGGGCCCCTGGGCCAAGCAAGGCACTGGGGCCCCAAAAGTCATGGGCCCCCAGAGTGCCCAATCGCTATGACTCCTGAACCTTTAAGTATGTTGTTTAATGTTAACTACAGTAACAATTTAGACAGACGGCAGTATCTTCAGGTTATCTTGAGATGATTTCGGGGCATAGCGTCCCCGCGGCCCGGTCCTCGACCAGGCCTCCTTTTTGTTACACATCACCAGGAAGCAGCAGCCCGTAGCAGCTGTCTAACTCCCAGGTACCTATTTACTGCTAGGTTACAGGGGTATCAGGGTGAAAGAAACTCTGCCCATTTGTTTCCGCCTCCACTGGGAATCGAACCCGGAACCTCAGGACTACGAATTGTTACGTTTGCAGGAGTTAGTTATGGATATTTCGGCGGGTTGATGAGTCAAGATAACGGCTGGCCGGCCGGTGTTGTTGATAGTGAAGGATAACAGGTGAAACGGAAGCCACGACTCAGAGCTATATCACGCTGATAACTGTCATCCAGGCTTACCACACTCTCCCGGTCACTTCTCCAGGCTTACCACACTCCCAGGTCACTTCTCCAGGCTTACCACACTCTCCCGGTCACTTCTCCAGGCTTACCACACTCCCCGGTCACTTCTCCAGGCTTACCACACTCCCCGGTCACTTCTCCAGGCTTACCACACTCCCCGGTCACTTCTCCAGGCTTACCACACTCCCCGGTCACTTCTCCAGGCTTACCACACTCCCCCGGTCACTTCTCCAGGCTTACCACACTCCCCGGTCACTTCTCCAGGCTTACCACACTCCCCGGTCACTTCTCCAGGCTTACCACACTCCCCGGTCACTTCTCCAGGCTTACCACACTCCCCGGTCACTTCTCCAGGCTTACCACACTCCCCGGTCACTTCTCCAGGCTTACCACACTCCCTCGGTCACTTCTCCAGGCTTACCACACTCCCCGGTCACTTCTCCAGGCTTACCACACTCCCCGGCCACTTCTCCAGGCTTACCACACTCCCCGGTCACTTCTCCAGGCTTACCACACTTCCCGGTCACTTCTCCAGGCTAACCACACTCCCCGGTCACTTCTCCAGGCTTACCACACTCCCTCGGTCACTTCTCCAGGCTTACCACACTCCCTCGGTCACTTCTCCAGGACCCGGATTCACAAAGCAGTTACGCGAGCACTTACGAACCTGTAAATCTTTTCTCAATCTTTGGCGGCTTTGTTTACAATTATTAAACAGTTAATGAGCTCCGAAGCACCAGGAGGCTGTTTATAACAATAACAACAGTTGATTGGCAAGTTTTCATGCTTGTAAACTGTTTAATAAATGTAACGAAAGCCGTCAAAGATTGAGGAAAGATGTAGACGTTCGTAAGTGCTTGCGTAACTGCTTCGTGAATCCCGGTCCAGGCTCTAACCACAGTCTTCTGTCACCCGTAGCAGTAGCTTCATGCAACAACTGTTTTCTATGACATTAATTTTTGTAATTACATTGACAAATGGGTATTCAGGTAGCTACAACCTTTCCTTCTTAAAACTCAACCTACTTATTTATAACTCTTGCACCAGAGAAGTTCTTGTTGATATCTTTATGACTTACTAGAGTCACAAAGTGTCAATCTGTGGCCCGTCATTCTACCAGCTGTTTCTAAACTACTGTCTTAGTTATTACTCGATTATCATAATTATCTTAATTATCAAAACAACGTGTCTTTTTGCATATCTTTAAGCCTGCTCCATTTTTATTTCTCATGTGTGTGGGGTTCCATACAGAGGAAGCATATGGTGATATTTAGTAGGCACTAATTTATAATAATAATAATGGTTATTCAGGTAAAAGTACACATATATATATACATGATGAGTTACAAACATAATGTTGGATTTCTAGATAGAGCTAGTACATACTATGCTCAAAGTCACTAATACACACAGCTTTTCCGGTAAGACGTGACCAAAAAAAACATAAAAACTAAGACTTAAAACAAATTAAGATAAAAAACATGAATTGACCTAAAGTAGAAAAAAAATGAATGACAATAATTACAAGTTGAATGAAACAGCAGAAATTGCAACAGCACAGCTGGTAGTAATTTTAACTATATAAACAGATGGATTACAATTTCCATTAAGTATAAAGATGGCATAGAAGCGCATAGTGTCTGGCATAGTGCATAATTAGGCATAGTGTCTGGGTGACTATGCCTAAGCTTCTATGAAGGCCATCTGGACCGTGACCAGTTGGATATATGTCCCCGCTATTATTCTGCTTTTGTGTGACTCTACAATGATAGATTTGAAGCTATTGTCCAACCCCAAGTCTTTGTATATTTCATCAGGAGGGAAAGCTGCCGCCTAATAGACTCCGGTACATGTTTACTGTCCAGTAATATGGGTCCCAGGATCCCGGTATGAAAATACTTGGATGGGACCACAAGGTCACCACTGTTCGGTCTCAGATCACCACTGTCCGGTCTTAGGTCACCACTGTCCGGTCTCTCCTCTAACCAGTCTTTTACACCTTTTTGTTGACTAAACATCTAAGTGGCCACACCGGATGTAGTGATTACACACGTACCAGTGTCATGGGGTTCATCTGGTCTACATGTGGGGTAGCAGGGATTCGGGGGTACCCAAACCCCCAAAAATAAGGGGGGGGGGACAAGGGACACGCTGATATGGAACTCAATTTCTGAACAATTAAAAAAGGTAGCTTTTAGATTAGATTGTATTGTAATTCAATGTGATAAGATCTTTATGATTTTCTTTAAGGTGTTATGTGCAAAGTTAGACATTTTTTCAAGTCATACTTGTACCTACAGTAGATAGTGATGATTCAGACAGCCTGGTGAATGGGGGGTATGGGGGGGGGGGACATGTTGAGAAATCCTTGGGGATCTATAATAGTAAATAGGTTATAAGAATTCCAATCAGAAGACTTCTAGACGTATATATACCAGATTTCAAGGCGGCCATAGACTGTGCATACTATATAGAACGTGAACTTTTACCTAGAAACCACACACACGGATCCAGAGGAGCAAGGTACGATAACAGGTGCGGCGATGTAGGAGACACAGTTATGATCAATGATACGGGTACCGTGCATGATGGCAGGAGGAGAGGCGAGCAGGTGGATGGAGAGTCTAACAGGTGGATTTAGAGGCTAGCAGGTGGATGAAGAGGCTAGCAAGTGGATGGAGAGGAAGATAGTGGCGAGGTGAGCGGAGTGAGGCCACAGGCAAGCACGACCTTCCTGACGATTAGCCTGGCTGGCGATATTATATACTTCACAGGTTCTTCTTATGACTAGGCTGCTAGTGTTAACTCGTTACTTACATGCATATGTATTGACAAATTACGGAGGGAAATACAGCTCTGTAGTGGAAATATACATTGGAAAGTGAGGCAGCAAGAATACGGACCTGGTAAACAATGGAATCACTGATGAACTCATAGCGTGACTATGTGTGATTGAAGGAGAGAGAGAGAGAGAGAGAGAGAGAGAGAGAGAGAGAGAGAGAGAGAGAGAGAGAGAGAGAGAGAGAGAGAGAGAGAGAGAGAGAGAAGAGAGAGAGAGAGAGAGAGAGAGAGAGAGAGAGAGAGAGAGAGAGAGAGAGAGAGAGAGAGAGAGAGAGAGAGAGAGAGAGAGAGAGAGAGAGAGAGAGAGAGAGAGAGAGAGAGAGGGAGAGAGCTATGTTTGCCAGTAATGTTCTACATGTCTTACATCATGCAGGAAGGCTTAACTACATTTTTTCAACTTAAAACCATTAAAAAAAACAGGTGTGTGGCACAGCACTGGAGGAGCTTTACCTGTGGAGATACTGAGATAAGGAGCGGGTGCGTGACGCTACACATGTCCCAAGCTCCCGTCCCACTCCCACAATCCCAGCCTTGGTACCGGAGAGGAAGATCCCGATACCTGTGTACAGAGAGTATGGGCATCAGAAGCCAATACACCAACTCTTCTGACTCCGGCTGTAGAAGGGGAAGGAAACTACCAGAGGGGGGGGGGGGAAGCGCCAGGTCATTACGACTATATAGCACTTGGAAGGGGGTCAGGATAAGGATTTGGGATGGGAGGGTGACAAGGAATGGTGCCCAACCACTTGGACGGTCGGGGATTGAACGCCGACCTGCATGAAGCGAGACCGTCGCTCTACCCCTCCACCCCAAGTGGTTGGGCTAAATACCACAGAGTTCCACACACACACTTACCCTCACCAAGACTTGGAGATTTTAAACAATCATATTTTGTTAACCCATGATATGCAGTGCTGAATAGCGCATCTAACACTTCACTGTTTATTGTTTATTTTGCCATAAAGTGTTAGTTTATGTTTCGCCCCACTTTACGTTGAAGATGCAAAGTGGCGATAAACCTTTTAAGGGTTATCTTGAGGTTATCTTGAGATGAGTTCGGGGCTTTAGTGTCCCCGCGGCCCGGTCCTCGACCAGGCCTCCACCCCCAGGAAGCAGCCCGTGACAGCTGACTAACTCCCAGGTACCTATTTACTGCTAGATAACAGGGGCATCAGGGCGAAAGAAACTCTGCCCATTGTTTCTCTCCGGCGCCCGGGATCGAACCCGGGACTACAGGATCACGCATCCAGTATCTATATTTGACAAAAAGTGTTTTCGTTATTCAAACAATGTGCGGTTTTTTATGCTATTCACAGTTCTTGTCTTAGATGGGCACAGTCTGTCAGAGGTGGACCCCATCACCCGTCCTCCACTCCTCTTGCAGGTTAGCTGTTGTTTATCTCCCACACCTCCATGGGTGCTTGTATCCAAGACGAATACTTGATACCTCGATTCAGCACCGCTCCTGTGCCAAGTAAGTCCACTACGAGCTCACCATTGCCCATGCTACTTGCCCCGCTCCTGTGCCAGGTAACTTACGGGCTCACCATTGCCCGTGCTACTTGCCCCGCTCCTGTGCCAGGTAACTTACGGGCTCACCATTGCCCGTGCTACTTGCCCCGCTCCTGTGCCAGGTAACTTACGGGCTCACCATTGCCCGTGCTACTTGCCCCGCTCCTGTGCCAGGTAACTTACGGGCTCACCATTGCCCGTGCTACTTGCCCCGCTCCTGTGCCAGGTAACTTACGGGCTCACCATTGCCCATGCTACTTGCCCCGCTCCTGTGCCAGGTAACTTACGGGCTCACCATTGCCCATGCTACTTGCCCCGCTCCTGTGCCAGGTAACTTACGGGCTCACCATTGCCCGTGCTACTTGCCCCGCTCCTGTGCCAGGTAACTTACGGGCTCACCATTGCCCGTGCTACTTGCCCCGCTCCTGTGCCAGGTAACTTACGGGCTCACCATTGCCCGTGCTACTTGCCCCGCTCCTGTGCCAGGTAACTTACGGGCTCACCATTGCCCGTGCTACTTGCCCCGCTCCTGTGCCAGGTAACTTACGGGCTCACCATTGCCCGTGCTACTTGCCCCGCTCCTGTGCCAGGTAACTTACGGGCTCACCATTGCCCGTGCTACTTGCCCCGCTCCTGTGCCAGGTAACTTACGGGCTCACCATTGCCCATGCTACTTGCCCCGCTCCTGTGCCAGGTAACTTACGGGCTCACCATACCCCGTGCTACTTGCCCCGCTCCTGTGCCAGGTAACTTACGGGCTCACCATTGCCCGTGCTACTTGCCCCGCTCCTGTGCCAGGTAACTTACGGGCTCACCATTGCCCGTGCTACTTGCCCCGCTCCTGTGCCAGGTAACTTACGGGCTCACCATTGCCCGTGCTACTTGCCCCGCTCCTGTGCCAGGTAACTTACGGGCTCACCATTGCCCGTGCTACTTGCCCCGCTCCTGTGCCAGGTAACTTACGGGCTCACCATTGCCCGTGCTACTTGCCCCGCTCCTGTGCCAGGTAACTTACGGGCTCACCATTGCCCATGCTACTTGCCCCGCTCCTGTGCCAGGTAACTTACGGGCTCACCATACCCCGTGCTACTTGCCCCGCTCCTGTGCCAGGTAACTTACGGGCTCACCATTGCCCGTGCTACTTGCCCCGCTCCTGTGCCAGGTAACTTACGGGCTCACCATTGCCCGTGCTACTTGCCCCGCTCCTGTGCCAGGTAACTTACGGGCTCACCATTGCCCGTGCTACTTGCCCCGCTCCTGTGCCAGGTAACTTACGGGCTCACCATTGCCCGTGCTACTTGCCCCGCTCCTGTGCCAGGTAACTTACGGGCTCACCATTGCCCGTGCTACTTGCCCCGCTCCTGTGCCAGGTAACTTACGGGCTCACCATACCCCGTGCTACTTGCCCCGCTCCTGTGCCAGGTAACTTACGGGCTCACCATTGCCCGTGCTACTTGCCCCGCTCCTGTGCCAGGTAACTTACGGGCTCACCATACCCCGTGCTACTTGCCCCGCTCCTGTGCCAGGTAACTTACGGGCTCACCATACCCCGTGCTACTTGCCCCGCTCCTGTGCCAGGTAAGTTACGGGCTCACCATACCCCGTGCTACTTGCCCCGCTCCTGTGCCAGGTAACTTACGGGCTCACCATACCCCGTGCTACTTGCCCCGCTCCTGTGCCAGGTAACTTACGGGCTCACCATACCCCGTGCTACTTGCCCCGCTCCTGTGCCAGGTAACTTACGGGCTCACCATACCCCGTGCTACTTGCCCCGCTCCTGTGCCAGGTAACTTACGGGCTCACCATACCCCGTGCTACTTGCCCCGCTCCTGTGCCAGGTAACTTACGGGCTCACCATACCCCGTGCTACTTGCCCCGCTCCTGTGCCAGGTAAGTTACGGGCTCACCATACCCCGTGCTACTTGCCCCGCTCCTGTGCCAGGTAAGTTACGGGGTCACCATACCCCGTGCTACTTGCCCCGCTCCTGTGCCAGGTAACTTACGGGCTCACCATACCCCGTGCTACTTGCCCCGCTCCTGTGCCAGGTAACTTACGGGCTCACCATACCCCGTGCTACTTGCCCCGCTCCTGTGCCAGGTAAGTTACGGGCTCACCATACCCCGTGCTACTTGCCCCGCTCCTGTGCCAGGTAAGTTACGGGGTCACCATACCCCGTGCTACTTGCCCCGCTCCTGTGCCAGGTAAGTTACGGGGTCACCATACCCCGTGCTACTTGCCCCGCTCCTGTGCCAGGTAACTTACGGGCTCACCATACCCCGTGCTACTTGCCCCGCTCCTGTGCCAGGTAACTTACGGGCTCACCATACCCCGTGCTACTTGCCCCGCTCCTGTGCCAGGTAACTTACGGGCTCACCATACCCCGTGCTACTTGCCCCGCTCCTGTGCCAGGTAACTTACGGGCTCACCATACCCCGTGCTACTTGCCCCGCTCCTGTGCCAGGTAACTTACGGGCTCACCATACCCCGTGCTACTTGCCCCGCTCCTGTGCCAGGTAACTTACGGGCTCACCATACCCCGTGCTACTTGCCCCGCTCCTGTGCCAGGTAAGTTACGGGCTCACCATACCCCGTGCTACTTGCCCCGCTCCTGTGCCAGGTAAGTTACGGGGTCACCATACCCCGTGCTACTTGCCCCGCTCCTGTGCCAGGTAAGTTACGGGGTCACCATACCCCGTGCTACTTGCCCCGCTCCTGTGCCAGGTAACTTACGGGCTCACCATACCCCGTGCTACTTGCCCCGCTCCTGTGCCAGGTAACTTACGGGCTCACCATACCCCGTGCTACTTGCCCCGCTCCTGTGCCAGGTAAGTTACGGGCTCACCATACCCCGTGCTACTTGCCCCGCTCCTGTGCCAGGTAAGTTACGGGTCACCATACCCCGTGCTACTTGCCCCGCTCCTGTGCCAGGTAAGTTACGGGGTCACCATACCCCGTGCTACTTGCCCCGCTCCTGTGCCAGGTAACTTACGGGCTCACCATACCCCGTGCTACTTGCCCCGCTCCTGTGCCAGGTAACTTACGGGCTCACCATACCCCGTGCTACTTGCCCCGCTCCTGTGCCAGGTAACTTACGGGCTCACCATACCCCGTGCTACTTGCCCCGCTCCTGTGCCAGGTAACTTACGGGCTCACCATACCCCGTGCTACTTGCCCCGCTCCTGTGCCAGGTAACTTACGGGCTCACCATTGCCCATGCTACTTGCCCCGCTCCTGTGCCAGGTAACTTACGGGCTCACCATTGCCCGTGCTACTTGCCCCGCTCCTGTGCCAGGTAACTTACGGGCTCACCATAGCCCGTGCTACTTGCCCCGCTCCTGTGCCAGGTAACTTACGGGCTCACCATAGCCCGTGCTACTTGCCCCGCTCCTGTGCCAGGTAACTTACGGGCTCACCATTGCCCGTGCTACTTGCCCCGCTCCTGTGCCAGGTAACTTACGGGCTCACCATACCCCATGCTACTTGCCCCGCTCCTGTGCCAGATAACTTACGGGCTCGCCATAGCCCGTGCTACTTGGAACTTGTTCCGAGTAGCTGAATCTATAACAACAACAACAACAACAACAATGCTTGATATTACGCTTTCCATCCCTCAGCCTCTTGGGCTGGACGGTAGTGACGGTCTCACTTCATGCAGGTCGGCGTTCAATCCCCAACCGTCCTGGGCACCATTCCTTCCCCTACCGTCCCATCCCAAATTCTTATCCTGACCCCTTCCAAGGGCTATATAGTCGTAATCGCTTTGCGCTATCTCCTGATAATTGCCTCCTCCTTTTTCCTTCTTGGTATATATATCCTTCAACAAGTTCAGTGATAACCGTTGTAATGGGTTGTAATTCTAATAAGTTTCAATTGCTGCATTGATATTATGCAGATCATCAACTTCCTCTGCTGTTGTCGTGTTAGCCATGTAGCATACTCTCCCACGGTCATTTTGCTACCATCTTGAGCTAGTATCTTGCAGTTTGGTCTACCTTTCCCTGTCAGGCTCAGTACACCTTCTAAGGTGCTCCCTTGTGGCAATGCCC